CTCTCTCTCTCTCTCTCTCTCTCTCTCTCTCTCTCTCTCTCTCTCTCTCTCTCTGCGTGTGTGTGTGTGTGTGTGTGTGTGTGGTGAAAGTCTGATGAAACAGTCGTCATGCTTTTTTCTGTGGAGTTGTGAAAAGCAAACATGACAACACACACGAACTCAAAGACACGAACATGATACTTACGGCCTTTTTCATTACTCAGGCTCAACGTCACTTGCAGACGGTGAATTGTATTGTTCCCTGCGTGACAATTGCTGGAACAATTTCTTTGTCCGTGCAGATGCCAGAAATGGACGGATTCGAGTGTGCAGAAGAGATTCGAAAGCTGGAAGCTTGCATGGAGGATCCCGCAGAACTGGAGAGCTCATCTACTGCCAACAATGTGCACCCGGCTAACGGCAATCTGCGACAGCGGCGCAGTACTCCTATCATAGCAATGACAGCCGATGTACTGAAGGGAACGAAGGAACAGTGCTATTCTCATGGGATGAATGGGTAAGTGCTAATTTTCAATCTGCTTTGATGCTCCACTAGTGCAAAGTTGCAACTAGCCCTCTACATTCGACACGTATCTGGACTGCCGCGACTTTAAACCACCGGTTCCTCCAAAAGTCACAGCCGTTGACAAGCTGCAACAATGATGAACGAACTGGCCACTACGGGAGCACCCAAATTCATCTGACTAGAAAGTTAGAAACGCTTCTTCTCTATTTTTTCCCACGGCCGATATATGGAAAAAGGTACTGGTGGTTTTAAGTTTTCAGAATGCTCGGCAATCTTTTCACCACCAGAAAACTGGTTTCTTTCGGTGATGGATGGATTTCCGGATATATCAACAACTCAGTCCATGGGTCTTCCATAGACACCCTACCTTTTAGGGTCGACAAAGAATCAAGCTTTAGCCGTTTGGTTGAGCATCCAACTCCCATGTGGAAGGTTGCGTTTTCGATTCTTGGCGTCAGCTCATGGATGGTTTAGTCATCTGTCCCCAAATCAATATCAATCAATAGATGGGTAATCAACTCCTATATACGGTCAGTATCGGCCGATTTGGACCTTTCAAGACTCGTACCTTCAACCACTCACACATCCATCCAAAGCAAAGATGCCCCTTGTACCTTTCTTTCCACTCCATCAAACACCTCACCAGGGAAGATCCGGGCGCAAAGCGATCACTGCAACTCACCTGACATTCATTTCTTATTTATTTATTTATTTATTTATTATTTTAAGGATACCAGCCGGTCCGCCCGGTCGCCTTGTTTGCCCGGGCGGCCCGGCCGTGCAAGGGCCAAAGAGGGTCCCAGCCAAAAAAACAAAACAAAAAAAACTCCAAAAAATCTGGAAAAGAAAACTATGTTATGCAGAAAAATAAACTGAACAACTTCTGCCTCAGGGTCACATCAAAATTCTTCATCAAATCGCAAATGAAAAATAATTTTATTTTATTTTTTTGGCCCGACCGGGCAAGTGGTCCCAGGCCACTCTGGTGGCCTAGTTTATTTCTTTTATTAGTTAGTTAGTTGGTTAGTTAGTTTGGTAGTTCTTTAGTTCTGGTTACTTAGTTTGTTAGTTTGTTAGTTCGTTAGTCGGATTCATGTCTGCCCTCCACAACAGGGTGGGCCTCTCTTGTCATAGACCAAAAGAATAGCATTTTAACTTCTAAAATAGGTTTGACATTCTCAATCGCATTAACAAAATGTGTGATTACATTCATAGACAAGTTCTCATTAGCTAGACAATAGAAAGTTTTATAAACAATAGCACGAGATTTTGTTTTTTTCCCATGAATCATACAAATGTTGATAAATTTGTGTATCAATTNTTTTTTTTGGAAAAACAGCCCGATTGAATGTTAGAGGTGCTGATAGGAGCAGACACCGCTAGCATGGTCGGGGAGGCTCCATCTATTGGTGGGGAGCAACACCTGCTGGAAATCGGGTCCAGCGTCCCTGTACACAAAAGTTTATCGTAAAGCGTGCCACGTGTCACAGCCTAAGGATCCTAATCAGCTGGTATGTGGACGCGTAGGCACACAGTTTTCGTCATGATGACCGGTTACTCAGGAGCTGAAAGTGGGGATCCCCGTTGACCACTTGTGCAACGCAAGAGTACTACAAGATTGTAAGACTAACCACCTTTCACACAACTCCGTCATGCACAGTGCACATAGTTATCGTAGTAGTCGAAAACGGCGAATACAACAAGTTTGTGAGCTCAAAAGAAAATTCAGGGAACCAGGAGCACGATATGGAAACACATCTAGTGGGTGGTACAAAAAGTGAACTTGATACTGTCTGTTACGTCCCTTACCAGTATGACTCACAAACCTATCAACCTTATGACCATCATCGATAGCACGAGGGATCATCGGCTCACAATAAGGAAAGGAACCAGGAGCACGATATGGAAACAGTTTGGACGCGTGTAAGACTGGATTCGTGTGCAAAGGATGAGGCACTTGAATCATGTATGGAGGACCAAATTCTTCGTTGTCTCCCACTACTTTCAACACCTGCCTAGGTCCATAATCGAGAGGAAGGAGTTTGCGCTACACTCCCTCTTCTTCGGATAATTAAAGACATTTTGACCCAGACATAACTTCCCACTAAGAATGGTGCACGCCGACACTTCTTATTAGTGCGTTTGATCATGGCCTCCCGACACTTATTCATTGCTGCAACAACAGTTTTGAGACAGCGGGCGTAAATGGCATTGTAGCCAGGCCGGCCATGTGACAGACCTGGTGCATGATCAAGAAACATGAAAGATAAAGGATTGCGTATCTGTCATGCCGGTGGAAGAGCGGATGGCGTTATTGTCTAACCCCTTCACAATTGACAATTCTACATCCCATGCGTTTTGATCGGGAATGATAAGAGCGCGAAGCAATTGAGTAACAATCTCGTTGATCTCCTCAGCAAAACCATTGGCTTCGAGTTGACCATATTTCATATTGAGCTTCATATCGTAGATATGGGTTGTGAAATCCTTCCAATCTGCGCTAATGAACGGGTGTCGAGTGCATCGGTTGCCGCCTTTTTCGCAAAGGCGAGAGCCCTCCCGGCCATGTCACCTAGGAATTAAACAAAACAAAATCAAGGGACAACTCGGGAACGACGCAGAATAATCCCGCGAATCGCCGAGACGGTCGCGGTAGCATCGTCCCTTTGCCGCTCTAGCCGGGTGCGCCAGCTATACATCTTGCGGTCCCCTACGACAGGATAGGTTCCCGCAGGGCACAACTTACCTTCCCTAAGGGGCTGTCACCACCCTTAGGGGCGTATCCCTACCGAGCTACTGACCCACGTGCGAAAGCTTTTAAATGCAATTGCAGAGGTAGGTCAGTCGAGGGCGTTTGCTCGTTCGCTGTAGTATAGATACGCTTGGTTAAAACGAAGTGGACTCGAACATCGTTCGTTCCTAGAGCGCTGATCTCCTAGGTACGGAATAAACGTCGGTCGACTAGGACGGTCTCAGCCAAGCGTGAAACTACAATTCATCCTAATTCCTTGTCCTCACAGTCAAACGAAAATTATAGCCATCATACATATTATGTCAAAAGAAATCGACTTTAGTCGATAAAACGTATATTCATTTATGAAATGATAGCTGGAAAAATACAAACCATCATTTAATACATCCAATAATATAAGATCGAAATACAATCCGACCATCTCAGGTCGGACTTCACAAAACAATCATACAACCTCCAACAAGGAGTTGGCTACCGACAATAATGTGGATGTAGCCCACAAGGTAATCGGCTGCCTTAGTTTTAACTCGATGAGACGCGTTGCCAAAGTTATTCATTCCGCCCTACCGCTGACCTAAAATTAGGAACGCACACACTCATCTGCATACTTTCTTTGTCTTCTTGGATGACAGGTTGCTTTGCGGATGATTCTTGATCAGGTGAATTGCTTGAATTGCTGCATGCCTCTCCCTCTAGGAAGTGGTCTGGGGTATTCCTCCTCGTCCGAGCACAAGACTCGGATCTCATACGTTGGGCCGACTCCACCGAATCGGCAAAATACCCCCCCCATGGAATGGTCCACTCTGGGTCGATAACAGGGCCGGCTCCTTAAGCAACGAACCCCCGCCCCAGATGCTTCCTTAAGAAAAAGAATGTGTTCACCATTTTCAATTATTCTCATTTTTCCTAAGTTCAGGGTAACTTGGACGAAAAGAAACAGAATGAGATAGAGAATGAGAATCATTTGGACAGGTACATGTAGATAAGGTCATTTGGGATAGAAAGGGTCATTCCTTGGGAGAAGACTAAGTCCGTTTGACCTTATTCCGCTTAATTTGAATCGAATTCATTTTATGACACTCACTGAACTAATCCTTTTTCAAAACAACAATTTTCACTTTCACAAGCAGGCAGGTGGAAGGTAGAAATAAAACAATATTTTTCATCATCCCTTGTAGACACAATCAACCTCCTTTGCAAGCATTCTTTTACCTACCTGCACAACACGCAAAAACAACAAGTTCAAAAAGGAGACCAGTACAATTTCATACTCAAGTCAGATTTTTTCATTCACACGGATGACTCACACAACTTTCCTCTACCTTTTCTTTTGAACATCCAAAACAACAGGGTCAAGCGAAGTGTGGGTTCACACAGGTGTGAAGGGATATATGAGTCATTCAACTGACCTTGAGTGAAGTTTAGATCCGGTTCACTCAAGAAAGCCGAGTAATATATTAATAAAAGGAAAATGACCACAACTCAGGTTCTCGCCTTTCTCCTGAGTCACAGTCCGCGTCTTCCACCAAATGTCCAAATGAGCAGAGGCTGGGCCACACAAACTCAAGCAAGATAGCCCTCCAGGAGGGTGTTCCCACAAATGAGTTTTCACGTGGTCTCAATGTCCCAGGCTGCCCCGACATAGTCCCAACTGTACTTCCCCCACCAAGGATACTCTCAACCAATTGCTAGTCCACACCGCCTTCAATCACCATGTCCGCTCGTAATACCACACTAACATGTCGGTCCTAATCTCAAAATCAGTCCCACCTGGTCCCAAAATGGTCCCAGATGGTCTCGGGCGGCCCCACACTATCGCCCGCATCACCAGATGGTCCAAAACTCAAAACCGCTCGCTCTGCAAGCTACAAAAAAAATAAAGGTGGCCCTGGCTGAAAAGCGCATGTGCCGCGAGCCCCAAAAAAATAAAGATGTCCTTCCGACGCAAACCGCAAGTGTCGCAACTCCAATAGCCACTGCCGCGAGCACTCACTTCGTGCCATCTTCACGTCGTCTGTCCACGCATTGCTACCATACAGACCCAATCGTGCACTAACGCCGGCCCAACCTCTAGACCATACTGGGATCCACCATAGCCGCATTACAAAAATAATGGCGGACCACTGCTTGTTGTGCCGTCAAAACCGGTACCATGGCTGCCCTGCAACACCACCGCTAGATCACACACAAGAAACTGCCTCCACTACGACGCAAAAGACCCGCAGCATTTTCCTCACAA